GAAGGGGCATGTCAAGTGGCTGGAGCACAGAGCCGGAAGTGTGTGGTAGCCACTTGGAGTGGTGGCACCCTTGGTATGTGCCAACGGCGCTGTCCACAGGGCCTGTACAGCACTGTCCGCAGGGCCTCCCAAAGCCCAAATCGGGCAGTCACCGCGATTCACGCCCCCACAAAGGGACGGCTCTGACTGAACTTCTGTTCTGTTACAGGGTTAAACCTGTTTCTGATGACTTAAATCAGTTTATTTGTAACTTCTGTCCCTAGCCTTGGAATCAAATTTATCCCTAGTGAAGTTAGTAGTTCTTAATTTGGCCTGTTGGGATTAGGGAGTATCGTAAAGGTTAAAACATTCTTTGGGTCATGTTATTTTATGCTCTTCGAGTCATTGAACATCCTAGTATAGCAATAACTTTGCGCATCATTAGAGGCTGATGTTGGTGTGTCACCCTTCATTTGAATTCCTGAGTTGCATGTGTGTTTCACAGGATTCATATATCTTGAAGTGGGATTTTTATTAGGGGTGTGCGAAACAGGCCGTATTCGTTTTGGATTCGGCCTGAATCGGGGGACAATGATTTGATTAGTTGATTTGGATCACTGTCCCAATTCAATTCAGCCAAACCTGAACCTGAAGATTGGAGGCTGATTCAGAGAATCAGTGATTCAGCCATAGACCCAGCTTTAAATGTTTTTTCTACATACCTCAAGGTACCAGGTGCAGCTCATGAACACTGTGATGCTGGGGTGGATGGAGTGTCCCCCGGGGGCGGGGCCACCTGCTCAGTGGTGGACCCAAAAGTGGACTGGAAGTACTTGAGGTCCACTTCTGGGTTCATTGCTGAGCCCGGGGGCACCCCTGCTAGCTCGGCGATCGGCCGCGGGAGGACCCCAGGTGCCCCCCCAGACCCAGGAGGCACCAGTCGCTGAGCTGGGGGGTGGGGGGAGGGTCCACTGCTGAGCACACTGGGGGTGCCCCCCCGTGCTCCTATGGGATGCTCCATCTGCCTCACCATCTCAGCGTTCGCAAGCCTCCTGGTACCTTGAAGTATGTAGAAAAAATATTTAAAGCTGTGTCTATGTCTGAATCATCGAATCTCTCTGAATCGATTTGGAGGGTACCGATTCAATTCAGAGAGATTAAAGGTTCTCCTGATTTGATTTGGATTTGGAGATTCGGCTGCCAAATCGGGCTGAATCTCCATGAATCAAATCAGCGACCAAAGCTTTGCACAGCCCTAATTTTTATGCCTTGTTATAGGTGGCTAAAATGTAACCTTTCCAACTCCCTGTGCCACTTGTTTAGAAAGCTTTGTTGAGTAAGTAATACAATCCTTGTATTAAAATACACTCTTTATTTTCCTTTCAGAGTATATTTTTAACAAAATGCCCTTGGCTGCTCCTCAACATTTTTTCTCTTTTGGGAGATGGTTATCTTCTAAGAAAGTTCCCCACTAGAACATATTCACGTGGTTAACACTGTTCTCCCTTTAAAGGACTCTAGCTGGCGTCAAGTAGTATTTTGTTTTTGCGCTATGCACAGATTACAATCAACTGTCACCGTGATAGATCAGTAACCTTCTGGGAAGTGAGACTAGGTGATTAGGTGATTTATTCATTGCAATTAAGTAATGTAGAAAGTCTGAATCCATAAACCTAAATGTGCTTGAACACGCATTCATAATATCGGTGTACATACCTCAGAATTGTTTGTTGACTTGGCCTCTTTTTTTTTTTTATTTGTTGCCTAGAGACTTTTATTCCTTTTGCTATTAAGTTACCTGAAATTGAAACTACATCCTGGATCCCTTCCAGACTGTAATAGAAGGAAATGTATTTCATTTGGTTGAGCCAGCTTTTACTTTACCTACAGTCTTTATAAAGGCCATCTTTAGATCAGGTTAGACTTGTACAAGCAGCAGGCTATTCACTGTTTAAACAAAGCTACAGCTTTTTGTTTATCAGGTTTTTAATTTGTGGTAGCGTTATCACTGACCTTACATTTTGGCTCTTGCTGTTTGTCCGATTTGCCTATGTAGTATTACCCCATCTTTAGGTGCAATCAAAGGCAAATTGTGAAAGGAGAAGTCAGACCAGGTTCAAGGTTCCAGTGAAGTGAAACCAGAGTTTACTTGGTAGGGACAAGCTGCTTGCCAGCATTTTGAAGAGACTCAAAGAAAATGTCTGAATTTTGAAATACCTGTGTTCCAGAGTCATCATGTGAGCTTTTCCTTCACAAAAGATCCAAGAAAAGGGAAATATAAAGCTAATCAGTTCTTCAACATTTTTTCATTATATGGAGGCTGAATTCCCAAGGGTGTAGTCACTTTATTTATCCTGCTTCCAGCAGAGGGTTTGACTGCATTAGAGTAGCCTTCTAACTAGCAAAGTTTCTTACTCATCTCTGGCAGGTAAAGATTATCTATTTGTTCCTAATTACTTATAGCTGCTAGTAGGCAATCAGTTCTGGAGGTGTTCACTCCTCTCCCTGGATTCACCAGTGCAGTTGATTTTCTCAGGCCCAGAAGGCTTAACATCATGGATTCCTCAAAGGAAAAAAGGAACCCTAAAAGCAAATACTTGACCAGGCCAGGAAAGAATAAAATATCAGTTTATATTTATTAGCTGCTGAAATGACAGCTTTTTAGTAGAGAAATTATGGGTCTTGGTTGAATTGTGGGTGATCTAGTAAAGACTGGAATCTTAATTACTCCCCTTGATTAACTCTGATGAAATAGACCTTACAGTGAACAGTCTTGCAATGTTCCTGTTTTTTAACAGTTTCCTGAAGTTGTTCACTCATTTCTCACATTCCTGAACCCTAATTATTTTACTTATATCATTAATTTTTGTATAATTCTGACTCTGTGCTTGTATTTTTTATTTGAGTTTACCATGGTTACATTCTTAGCAGCCTTGTTTATTTTAATTCTTTGTTACTATGCTAACCTCTTTATTTTTTGTTACACCTTGCAGCTCCTTTTCAGATACAGATCCTAATATCTCTGTTGGGAGATGCTCCCTTTTCTTCTCATTTTGAATTCTCTCCAATGATGATCCAGTTGAGTTCAGTTACAAGTGAACACTGTTCTTCTTTTGGCATTCCACTTTGTTTTTCTGTTATTCCAGTCTAGAATTTTATAACCCAGTTGGTAGGAGAAGCTATTTTCCTAATTAAAAAATCTAATTTTAAAGACAGCTCTTTCTTTTTCTTCTGCCCCCAACACTGTACATCATTTATGCATCTCACTAATTAAAACTTTATTTTTTTCCCCGTATATTCATCAGGGAGCTGTCCGCATTTGAACTTTCAATTGGCTTCTAGTGAATGCTGTTGTGTGTGCTGGTTTATAAGAGTTAGGAATCAGTAGCATTCTAAAATAAATTATATCTGAAGGATTGAAGCAGGATTTATCCTTAGTCTTACTGGCAGTAAAAAATTGGCTGCTATATATGTTGAATCACTTGGTTTGACCACAAGTCCTCCATTGTTTTAAAAGGAAGCTACAGACATAAACAACAATTCTGTAAATTTGTCTTTTGCAAAACTGGACACTGTCTTCATGATGATTCATAGATATGAGTTTACTGAACTTGAGGAGGTGGCTGGCTGATTTCCTGGGCAGATCATGTGGCCAGTCGCCATATTCATGGGCTGAGCATGGTGGGATCCCCCCATGCCTCTGATTGGCCAAGGTACCCCAGCAGTCCTGCCTCTCCCCGCAGATTGCCACATGGCTCAAAACCAAGCCCAGGGAAGCCATTAATTTATGTGTTATTAAGTGCAGATTAATGGCTTCTCCAGGCTTAATCAGGGTAATTTAAGCCGCGGTTTCAGGCCATCTCAAAGTGGCGAGCTCCATGCTTTTGGTGGGATTACTCCAAAATAAATAAATAGACAAACTTGCAGGCAAGGAGAAAAGTGCATGGGAAGCCTTCGTCTTGGAGCACAGGAGGAAGGCAGAGGGGGCAGAGTGGGGGCCAGAGGCAGCCCCATCCTTCCCCCTGCCTCCATTCCATTCCCTGTCATTTTGCATAACCCCGCCTCCCTTCCACAGCCCCAGTTCTCTATTTGTATAATCCCACTTCCAGTCCCCCCTACCCACTCCTTTCCCCACTCTTGTTTCATCATTTGTATAATCCACGTTCTCCCTCCCCACCGCCCCTTGGGAATCACTCTGCCTCCCTCCCATCCTCCTCCCTGCCTCCTTTCTCTCTCCTTCCCCCCTCCTCCCCCTTCCTGCCTTCCCTCCCATGCTCCAAGACTGCAGGGCTTCCCACCTGTTTTTTCTCCTTGCCAGTAAAATAATTTATTTATTTATTTTGGAGTGATCCCAGCAAAAACATGGAGTTTGCCGCTTCGGGCTGGCCTCAAACCATGGCTTAATTACCCTGATAAAGCCTGAGGAAGCGATTAATCCATGCTTAATAACATTCTTAAGTGAATTTATTTATTTTGCAGTAAGCCCACCTAAAGTGTGGAGCCTGCACTTTTTTGCAGAGCCCGCCCGAAATCATGGTTTCCACAAATATTGCTCAATCACGATTTTGGTAGATCCCTATTCATAGCAAACTTACCTTGCATGGTGTTTTTCAAAGATGTTAAACTGGTAAATTGATAATAAAATTATGTACAAATGGTCAGGGTTTTCTTGTGGAAAGGATAGAAGCATTCTACTGAAAAACTGAATGCAAAGCTGTATTGGAGTTCACAAGGAAGCTTACTGTAGATATGTATAGTATCCCCTGCTGAAAAATATTGTCACAAGTGCTGGTCCCAATAAACCCATGCAGAAAGGGAAGAACAGATCTGCAGCATGCACAAAAAATAAGGGAAATATTCTTATAATGAATATGTCAACCATTGTGATAATTGGCAGCTCCAGAAAAGGTGGTGTGAGCATATACATAAAGGCAGGAGAGACATGGGATAATATCTGGTGATCTAGCATGTATTGAGCTTTGGCCTTAAAGTGTACAAAAATATTTTCTTTTCTTTCCTAGCATGGCCGGACCCCTTTGCATCTTGCTGCCCATAAGGGCCATCTCCGTGTTGTCCAGATTTTGTTGAAGGCAGGCTGTGACCTTGATATTCAAGATGATGTAAGTAGATGTCCCTGTCCTTATAATGAGGGATATATGCTCTGTCAATTAGTAATCCCATTTCTTCACTGTTTTAGTAGTTAGCTTCTTAAAAGTGGGGTTAAATTAGCCCCAAATCTCTCCACCATAGTTTCTCATTCTGAAGAATTTCAGACAAAACTGTAGAGGAAGCAGACCAAGTGAAATCAGTATTGGAGACAAGTGTCTCGGTCCCCTGGCAGAGTTTTGCAAGATCCTTTTTTTATTGCAGCTCTGTGTGAATAGTAATCAAGGGTGTTGACTGCTATTTGATACACCAGTAAAATGGGAGGTCATTTGTGCCATACGGGAGCCCCACTGAAGTACTTTAGGTACCTGACATAATCTACCAGGAATGTTTGCCACAGAGAAGACTTCAGAATGCAGGAGATGCTTTTCTCTGCATATATTCGAGTGTGTACATAATTGAGCAATCACCTTGAAATGCTGTACAGAGCTGCAGCAAATTGGCTATTCATATCCTGCTTGCTGCAGGGGGTATAATCTGTGTCTCATGACCTTTGGATGATAACTGGAAAGTGCAAGTTATCTGTGATTAGACTTAAAATTAGCAGATGATATTTTTCAATTAAAAAAACCCCAACCAAATAATTTGTGTTGCTTAATATCACTTAAAATTCATGAGAATGCTTGAGCAGACGTGTCTCCGATGGTGGGACCTAGGAATGTTTTGTTTTGCCATTGCGGGAATTTTGCTTTCACAAAGGAAAATTTAGGCTGAATCTTTTCAAAGAACTGAAATAAACATGATCTGTTCCAGAGTCCTAGCAGCTAATTCATATGACTTCATGTAATTTTGCCTGAAAGTGCAGATGAAATAAGCAGTAGTGTAATGAGTGGTGGGTGACTAGGTCACCAGACCCAGGTGCACACTTGCAGAGCATGAATGACAGCTGCTGCTGTAGCCAGTCCAGCCCCTGCCACCACGGCCACCCAGGGCGCAGGCCCTGGCTCTTTTGTCTCTGAGAATATGCATATAATGGGATTTTCAAAAGGCAGTTGATTCTCTTTGGGTGCCTGTCTACATCCTTAAGTATTTTGTAATCCTTAGGTATACTTTTAAACACCTTTTAAAAATTTGGCCCAAAGGCACTTCCAGCCTTGCCAGTGACTCACAGGGAGGCTTAGGTCAGCTTCTGGCAGGTTTGTAACCTATATTTTCATGCAATCAGTCTTACTCTGAGGAACTTGCTCTTTCAACAGTAATTCAGTTTCCTAGCCTCTCGTTACTTCAGAGTATTATCAATACCAATTTCAAAGGAGGGGAGGTTAGATACTCTGTGATAACTGCTTCAAGTGTCTGCTGCTCCTGTCGTGTGGTAAGGGAAGGCTAAATCATGGTATCTTAGCCCTGTTTTATTCTAGAATAAGGTGCCCCTCTTAGCTTTCATTTACTGTGGGATAAGAGCAGATGCAAAATATTTAATTCAGAGCAGCTGATGCACAGAAAGTCCCCCCACTTTTAACTCAGTATAATTTGTTTGTCTGTCCATACCCTTAATTTACCCATCTGTAAAATTGGGCTAATTTCTAGGTGTATTTGGAGACCTGTTTAATTAATATTTGTAAGGAATTTTCAGATGCTTACATTTGCAGAAAAGAGTACTGTTGGAATAAGAAAATTGCTGGACGTATACAAGTGCAGTCAGGTTTTCTGATAAAGATAGGCTGCTAGCCTAAGAATCCAAGTTTTGCCAATATTTGTTTTTAAACTGAGATTCCAGTGAAACTGCTTTCTGAGTGTAGTATGCATTTTTAATGTGATAGTTACAAAACCTGGACTATTTGTAGGTATAACTGTATTGTAAAGAAAGCTGGTGTAGTAGGCAGGTTGGAAAAAGAATAAATCTGAGGTTAGCATTATTATAGCCAAAATGTGTCTTGCACTTCAGATATATTCAGGTCATAAAGACCTTCATTCACTTTTCCTCTCACATTGTCCAAGTCCTGGTTTATGACAATGTGATACCACACTGTGTGCAGTATAACTAATTTTAAAAGACTAGAATCTTGGTTGTTTGTGAATATGATGTTATAAAATTGAAATTCTACTTGTGAGCTCCTTGTATAGTACTGGATATATCCTGAGAGCTCCAGGAATTGTTGCTAATTCTGAGGATTTGTATTTCCATTTGCTTCTTGTAGCAAAGAGGGAAGGAGAATAAAACTCAGTCAAGAATTTTCACAAGACTGCCTAAGATTAAATATGTAAGCTAAAATATATTGGTTTTACTTTCAGATAGGTAAAAAGAAATTCTCCCACCTATAATTTCTCTTTGTGTAATTCATTTTGTGCACTTTTGATATATACCAGAGAGGAGCATTTGAATTGCCTTTAAATATGTAAATTCAAGCATTCTGTCTCAAGTCACATTTACTGTTTGCTATAAACCAAGGAAGGAGCACTTTATTCTTTTGGCAGTGAGGAGTTTCAACATCAAATAAACATATGTAAACATTTAACTTTTACATAAACACATACACATAACAGCCATCCTTTTCATTGTTATTGTTCATATATATAAATATTTATTTTAAAAAATCAGTGAAAAGGATGCCTATATATATGCGTGTGTGTGTGTATTCATATTCATATTTATTTAGGCCCCACTTTTTAAATTTGTCATGTGAGGAAGAATTTGTATACTTTATTTTTTTTAAAAGATTTGTTTAAATGTGTAACATGCCGTTTCTGTAGAGAATCATTGTGATTACACATGCAAATTATCCTCTTTCATTCTAAAAATCTGACAGTCTACTTCATTTTAAAAAAATACAATTGGAGCTGTATTTGAGCTGTAGAGAATATATTGTGGGCAGTCTAAAGTACTAACTTCATGTTCTGTAGATACTGTTCTTTAAAACACAGTCAAAGACATAAGGATTAGTTGAAGAATGACCTCCAGTGGCCTCGAGTGGGATTATTATGAATTTCAACCTGTGGACTCCAGCTCTGTAGAGTACGCAACTCCGGGAACTAACTCTTTCCTTCTCCCTACCAATCCTGCCAACTCTTATTGGAATGCTAATGCAATCTCTGATTGGTCAATGAGTATTCATACAGCACATACCTCAGGAATAGCCAAGGAGAAGGTTGCCCTGGTGAAAGAAATCAAGGAAGAAAAAGATAAGAAAAACCAGAGGAGAAAGGCTAGAAAGGACCCTAGAAGATCAGAAAGAGAGAAGGAGGTTAGAAATCTTGTACCTGAATCTTGCCTTGAGCTTCACACTGACACAGCTGCATGTAACATCTTGTATTGGCAGTATAGCATGGTAGAGCTCCTAAAAATGCATGGTTGCATGGCTGGGCTTTATTCTTGTTGCTTTGCAAAGATGGTGTACCCTTCAAATAGATTCCACTAAATATTTTTGACAGTGGCACTTCAACCAACCAAGCCCAAAACCTTGGCTCTGTAAGCCCCTTTTGCAAATTAAAATTGAAGAAACAGAAAATTCAGTTCAAATGTAACAGACTCTCATGAGTTCAGAACCATCCCAATCCAGATGTAAATATTCAGGTTACAGCAGAATGTTTAAATCCTTTCAGTCCTATTTCTGTTTTCCTGCCTTAACTCCCTTGGCTGGTTTCTTATTGTCCTTTGCTACATGCAAGAGTTAAATAATTACTTTAGGATATTTGCAGTGATCATATTTGTTTAGCAAAGGAGAAAGAAATGGCAAGTTCACAATGAAAAATACTTGGGGAGTCCAGGTGCTGGATGTGTACAGTTGCTTCAGATAATCAAAGTATTCATTAAAACATTATGCTATTAGCTCAGTGATAGACTAAAGAAACATTTCATAGTTCACCCTTTGATTTCAAAATGTAAGACTTTTTAACTTCTAGCTAGTAATTGGTATTACAACTGAAGGCAACACCATGCTCTGGATTTTTATGCAGCATTTGCATGGCAGGATAATTTATTTGCAAACAAATAGTTTGACAGGTTGTAACAGTAAATGGTATAAACAGCATGAAAAGTGAAAGGAAGCAAGGAGTGTGTTTGGAAGGAGATCCAAGAGGGGAATGATTTCATCGTTACCAGAGGTGATTGGGTTGATGGAGACATTCGCTTCTTTAATGTGACTCATGAAATGGTGTTAGGAAGAGGAAGAGATAAAATGTGTTGGTTGATTAGGTTTCAAGCATAATACTATAAAACCCCAAAATATAATCAAAACACCTCATACCTAATAATTACATCCATTTTAAAATTTGCACCTGATTTTGGTATTACAATCTTGAATATTTTTGTATGATAGTCTTGAATTTCCTTTCCTTTGGGTTTTGTGAGGGCTGAGAAAGGAGGTAAAGATACTAAAACTACTTCAGTCTTTAATTTGATTCTGGTGCTCCCTCTCCTTGGGCTTTACAACTTTGGAGTCAAATATAAAATAAACTAAAGTGTAATTTTTAGGTACATCTGCAGGCACAAAGGAATGTTTTGAAGAGCTCCCTGAGCTAATTCTGAATGAGCTAGCTCAGGTGTTGGAAGCTTGTATAGCTGCATTACTGTGGCTTTTCATCCTAGGTAGGGTAACCAGCTTCCAGTGAAGCTAATTTGAAGTGCCATGCTGTTATGACTGTACTGCCTCTGTTATTCAGGCTAGCTTGGGGAGCGCTGCACAGTACTACACTATGCCGTACAGGTATACTCTTAGGTGCCTTCTCCCTTATGGTGGACCCTAGCCTGGAGTTAGGTACAGAGGTTCCCTAGGCAATGCATAGGAAGAACTTGGAACGTCAGAACATAGTCCGCAAAATATAGCATGCTGAATAGAGAATTGTTGTCGAAATACTGAACCATCTTCTCTCTAGCCCAGAGAATCTTGATCAACTGTTGAGACCGACTTGTTTCTGGGTAACTGCCAAAGCAGAACTTCAGTACCTGAGAAACTTTGGTATCGACTGCTGAGGCATCCCTGGAGTTGAGCCACTTTCTGAGTTAGGCAGCAGCTAA